TATTTTCAGCTCCATCCGTTTTAGAAACTCAACACATGTTTGGTATAGCTCTACAATGCTTAAAAAACTCTGGATTAATCATTGCCCCTGAAAAAACTCAAATCTCTACTCCTTATCTTTACTTAGGATTTGTTGTTAATAGATAACATATTACTCCCCAACTAACTCAGATTCGTACTGATAAATTATCAACCTTAAATGATTTTCAGAACTCTTAGGTGATATAAACTGGATTAGACCCTCTTTAAGTGAAGGCACTCAGTCATGTCTGACTCTTTGCGACCCCATGGACTGTAGCCTACCAGGCTCCCCTGTCCTTGGGATTTTCCAGGCAATAGTACTAGAGTGGATTGCCATTTCCTTCTCCAGGGGATCTTCCCAACCCAGGGATTGAATCCAGGTCTCCCACATTGTAGACAGATGCTTTACCATTTGAGCCACCAGGGAAGTCTAGACCCTCTTTAGGCATTGCTAATTATCAACTGGAACTCTATTTGGTACAAAATAAATTACAAAAGCAATTTCTTACTCGCATTAGACTAGATTTACCTTTAGAATTATTTGTGCTCCCCTCTTTTCATTCTCCCATGGGACTTCTTGCCCAAAAAGATCACCCAGTAGAATGGATCTATATCCATTTTAGAGGAATAAAGTCACTTACACCCTACCTTGATTTATTTGCTCTAATCATTATCAAAGGCGTTGGCCTAGTCAATAAAGCAGAAATAGATGTTTTTCTGGAACTCTCTTGCTTTTTCGATGATTCAATGGATGTTGGCAATTTGATCTCTGGTTCCTCTGCCTTTTCTAAAACCAGCTTCAACATCTGGAAGTTCACGGTTCACATATTGCTGAAGCCTGGCTTGGAGAATTTTGAGCATTACTTTACTAGTGTGTGAGATGAGTGCAACTGTGTGGTCGTTTGAGCGTTCTTTTGCATTGCCTTTCTTTGGGATTGGAATGAAAACTGACCTTTTCCAGTCCTGTGGCCACTGCTGAGTTTTCCAAATGTGCTGGCATATTGAGTGTAGCACTTCACAACATCATCTTTCAGGATTTGAAATAACTCAACTGGAATTCCATCACCTCCACTTTGTTCGTAGTGATGCTTTCTAAGGCCCACTTGACTTCACATTCCAGAATGTCTTCTTCTAGGTGAGTGATCACACCATCGTGATTATCTGGGTCGTGAAGATCTTTTTTGTACAGTTCTTTTGTGTATTCCTGCCACCTCTTCTTAATATCGTCTGCTTCTGTTAGGTCCATACCATTTCTGTCCTTTATCGAGTCCATCTTGGCATGAAATGTTCCCTTGGTATCTCTAATTTTCTTGAAGAGATCTCTAGTCTTTCCCATTCTGTTGTTTTCCTCTATTTCTTTGCATTGATCGCTGCAAAGAGGAAGTCTTTTTTATCTCTTCTTGCTGTTCTTCGAAACTCTGCGTTCAGATGCTTATATCTTTTCTCTTCTCCTTTGCTTTTCACTTCTCTTCTTTCCACAGCTATTTGTAAGCCCTCTTCAGACAACCATTTTGCTCTTTTGCATTTCTTTTCCATGAGGATGGTTTTGATCCCTGTCTCCTGTACAATGCACGAACCTCCATCCATAGTTCATCAGGCACTGTGTCTATCAAATGTAGTCCCTTAAACTTATTTCTCAGAAATCAAATTGCCAACATCCTCTGGATCATCGAAAAAGGAAGAGAGTTCCAGAAAAACATCTATTTCTGCTTTATTGACTATGCTAAAGCCTTTGACTGTGTGGATCACAATAAACTATGGAAAATTCTGAAAGAGATGGGAATACCAGACCACCTGACCTGCCTCTTGAGAAAACCGTATGCAGGTCAGGAGGCAATAGTTAGAACTGGACATGGAACAACAGACTGGATCCAGATAGGGAAAGGAGTACGTCAAGGCTGCATATTGTCACCCTGCTTATTTAACTTATATGCAGAGTACATCATGAGAAACACTGGGCTGGAGGAAGCCCAAGCTGGAATCAAGATCGCTGGGAGAAATATCAATAACCTCAGATATGCAGATGACATCACCCTTATGGCAGAAAGTGAAGAGGAACTAAAGAGCCTCAGAAAGTGAAGAGGAACTAAAGAGCCTCTTGATGAAAGTGAGAGGAGAGTGAAAAAGTTGGCTTAAAGCTCAACATTCAGAAAACTAAGATCATGGCATCTGGTCCCATCACCTCATGGGAAATAGATGGGGAGACAGTGGAAACAGTGTCAGACTTCATTTTTCTGGGCTCCAAAATCACTGCAGATGGTGATTGCAGCCATGAAATTAAAAGACGCTTACTCCTTGGAAGGAAAGTTATGACCAACGTAGATAGCATATTAAAAAGCAGAGACGTTACTTTGCAAACAGAGGTCTGTCTAGTCAAGGCTATGGTTTTACCAGTGGTCATGTACGGATGTGAGAGTTGGACTGTGAAGAAAGCTGAGAGCCAAAAAATTGATGCTTTTGAACTGTGGTGTTGGAGAAGACTCTTGAGAGTCCCTTGGACTGCAAGGAGATCCAACCAGTCCATCCTAAAGGAGATCAGTCCTGGGTGTTCATTGGAAGGACTGATGCTGAAGCTGAAACTCCAATACTTTGGCCACCTCGTGCGAAAAGTTGACTCATTGGAAAAGACCCTGATGCTGGAGGGATTGGGGTCAGGAGGAGAAGGGGACGACAGAGGATGAGATGGCTGGATGGCATCACCGACTCGATGGACATGAGTTTGGGTAAATTCCAGGAGTTCGTGATGGACAGGGAGGCCTGGTGTGCTGCGATTCATGGGGTCCCAAGGAGTCAGACATGACTGAGCGCCTGAACTGAACTGACCTGAACTGGATCACTATCAATGGAAGAAATAGGGCTAAAACTCTAATTGGCTCCAATACCCATAAAATTGTGATACCTGTCAATAAATCTCAATTCGAGAAAGCCTTACAAACTTCTACTGATTTCCAAATAGCTTTTTTGGAATATTTTGGAAAAATTTCATTTCATTATCCTTCTATCTAGCTATGGAATTTCTTCAAAAATACTGAATTTATTCTTTCCCACATCTTCAGCTCACAGCCAATACCTCAAGCTGAAGTTATCTATATAGATGGGATTAAGAACGCTAAAGCCTCATTCTGATCTCTCAAACAATATAAAGTTTTTTACACTAAATTCCATTCTGCTCAGCAAAATGAATTATATGCTGTTATTCACATCACACATTAAAATTGCAAATAAAAAATATAAAAAAGAAGGAATACACTGGAATATTGCTATCTTCCCTTTCTAAATCAGACTCTACTAGATTCCAACATAAGATATTCTCTAAATCTATAATTATTGTTAATATAGCTTTATTTCTTTTAAATTTGTTAAACTTACCACAAGGAGATATCTTGACAAGAGCAGAAAAACATTTTGAGGAATTGAAGGACACTTCTCTTCTTCTGCCCAGTTGGTATCAAGACAGGTTCAATAAACAATGGAAATCTGGGAAATTAATCTTACAGGGAAAGGGATATGCTTGTATTTCCCCAGATGGATCCAACGAACTCACATGGCTTCCTAATTGGAAGATTCGACCCAAGGGGGCCCCGGGCATTCAAAATGGAGATGAAACAACAAAAACCCCAGGAGGAAGAAATTCCAATACTGGTCATGTCAACTCTAAAGATCTCCAGGAAGCACTGCCCTCGGGGACCTCAACCTTATGACCTCCCCTCTTGGGGACAGATAAAAACCCTTACTAATCAAGCTGAAAATCTGGTTTCTCAACAGGGAATGCCTCGGAGTCCTGAAAACCTTCTTAACTGCTATGCTCACTCGGTTGGCCTGCCCAACCCCCTCTCGAGCCGGATTAACTAATCAGATTTAACTGGGTTTACTTACCCAACCCCCCTTTATTGCAGGTCATAGAATGGACGGAAAAAGGACCGATGGTATCAAACAATGACTCCACCCATATGCTCCCTCCCTGGAACCCTCACACCCTGGGGAGGAGGGAAAACTAATTAACATTTCTTTAGGCTATGAAGTCCTTCCATTGTGCCTGGGCCCAGGGGAATTATGCATAAACATCAGCTGACAAACTTGGGCTTTCGTCCTGCTTCCAAACGGAGATCTTTCGACATTGCTTGGATTATTTACTGCCCTTTCTTTGTGAACCATGTTTACACTACTGAAACTTTAGGTAAAGTGTTAGGGAAAGAACAAAGAACATTATGTAAAGGGTTTACTTCTAAGACTTTAAATATACTCCTGTTCATTGGGACAAATGTCAAGCCAAATCCGGAAAACTAATATTTGTGGCTAGTCACACCGTTGTCGATTGGGGATCCCATGGTATGTGGTTGTCTATCTGCTCAGATGATATTAACAGCATTGTGTGTGATTATGCTACTCAAGTGGCTTGGAAGGTTACTAACACTACAATGGAACATTACCATGACAAAGGAATTCTTGGCTGGCTTGACAGTGGAATGGCATCCCCTCATTTTCGGATCGTCCTTGATAAACAAATTGGGCCTGAACTATGGGACATATGGAAACATGCTGTGAGCACCGAAGATCTTGGAACTTGGACTGGACATTTCACAGGAACCAGTCGTAGTCTTAGTAATTATTTCTTTCGCTATAATCAATAATATTTCATACAAGCTTGTATTCCCCTTTCTTTTGTTTTAGCTATAGGAAACTTAAAATTTAATAAGACTTTACGCTCTGTAACATATGAATTGCAAATTGTATACCTGTCTTAACTTCTATTTCCATAAGAAATGAATCCCTTTTGATTCTTCAATCTTGACATAATTTGTGGTTACCAGCTTCCGAGAGGCGAGAGTGTTTTCTCGCGGGCGGTGGATGGGCTAGCGCTGCGGGCGCTGGGCGCCTGTGCAGTCTGGCGCCTGACTGTCCCCGTCCCCGCCCGCCCCCCCCCCCACCCCCCATCAACTCCCGGCCGGGTTCAAGGTGCAGTGAACGTGCGAGGAACCCATGGAGCGGAACAGCGGGCTGGAGGCTGGGCCGGAAGCGGAGCTGGAGGAGGGGGAGCCCGAGGTGAAGAAGCGGAGACTCCTGTGTGCGGAGTTTGCTTCGGTCGCGAGTTGCGACGCCGCTGTGGCTCAGTGCTACCTGGCCGAGAACGACTGGGAGATGGAAAGAGCACTGAACTCCTACTTCGAGCCGGCCGCGGAGGAGAGCGCTTCAGAAAGCCGTCCTGAGTCCCCCTCTGAGCCCGAGTCCTGTGTTGACCTAACCAAGGAAGAGACAAATGATTCCGTTTGTTCTAAAACCAGCACATCTGAAGATAAAAGTGTTCAGCAAGAAGATGGCAGCGTATTCTCTTTCATTACCTGGAATATTGATGGATTGGACATGAACAAAATCTGCTAGAGAGGGCTCGAGGGGTGTGTTCATATTTAGCTTTGTACAGCCCTGATGTGATATTTCTACAGGAAGTTATTCCCCCATATTATGCCTACCTAAAGAAGAAAGCAAGTAGTTACGAGATTATTACAGGTCATGAAGAAGGATATTTCACAGCTATAATGTTGAAGAAATCGAGAGTGAAGTTTAAAAGCCAAGAAATTATTCCTTTTCCAAATACGCAAATGATGAGAAACCTTTTGTGTGTGCATGTGAGTGTGTCAGGAAATGAGCTTTGCCTTATGACTTCTCATTTGGAAAGCACCAGAGGGCACGCTAAGGAACGAATGAATCAGTTGAAAATGGTTTTAGAGAAAATGCAAGAGGCTCCAGAATCAGCTACAGTTATATTTGCTGGAGATATAAATCTCAGGGATCAGGAAGTTACCAAATGTGGTGGTTTACCCAACAACATTTTGGATGTCTGGGAGTTTTTGGGCAAACCTAAGCATTGCCAGTATACATGGGATACACAAATGAACTCTAATCTTGGAATAGCTGCTACTTGTAAGCTTCGTTTTGATAGAATATTTTTTAGAGCCTCAGCAGAAGGTGGCCACATTATTCCCCAAAGTTTGGACCTGCTTGGGCTGGAAAAACTGGACTGTGGTAGATTTCCCAGTGATCACTGGGGTCTTCTGTGCAACTTAGATGTAATATTGTGAACTGCTTTTCAAATACGAGTTTTAAATGTTTGGAGTGATTTTGTTCTGTGATTATAATTTCAATTATAATTTCTATCTGTCCTGGAAAGGTAGTTTAACAAGGAGGAGTTATAAACTGGATCACTGTAACAGAAGGAAAAACTACTGTGATTTTACTTTGTGGATTGTGTCCTCAGATTTCAGAACTAAATCTTAATATTCATTTAAACTAAAGCATACCTGTGTTGAAAACGTGAGGCCTCTTAATGCAAGGTCACAATGACTACCAGAGCTTTTAATAGTGCTCGTTGCTGTTGGCTGGATTTCAAGCAGGGCCACATTTTGTCTGTGGACTAGCCTTTATATTAGATTTATTTTTTAAATCAGCTAACAAAATAGTTATATTTTAAATAAGTCTTCAAAAAAAAGAAAAAACGGGTTACAGAGTCCTTGGGGTTGGATCTTTTAATACTATTTCATAAATCCAGATAATCTGATAGTTATCATCCATCAGATTTTTTGTCAGTTACAGTACCTAATTGGTAAGCTAGAAATGAACTCATGATTTAAAATCCCTTGACTTAAAAAAATTTGCGTTTGTAGTTATGTTACCTAACAGAGGCAAAGTTAGGCTTGATAATGATTAAAGTCAGTTTTCCAGAGGCATTGGGCTTTTTTCTAAGAGAAAAATGTGTAAAGAGAAATAGCCATTTAGTTTTACTGCTTGTAAAACTGAATTTTTTTTCAGGAGGTTAATAAGGAACACTTCTACATGTGCTTTAAGGAAACATTTTTTTTTCTTCCCCAAGAGAATATACTGTAAATAAAGAATTTTGCTTGTTAAAAAAAAAAAAAAAAAAAATTTGTGGTTACCAGTAAATCTCCAACGGCCCTGGGAAGAAGGCCCCCTGGCCAGGCTTGCTTCCTGGTTACTTACTAAATTACTCTGACGATCTAAACGATTCACTGGATGGCTGATTCTTGGCATTTGGGGATTAATAGCTATTTGCACCACTGCTGCCATCACTGGTGTTGCTTTACAAACCTCAATTCAAACACATAATTTTATCCAAAATTGGACTAAAGATGCTCATACTATGTGGGCCACTCAGACTCAGATAGATGATGATATTCAAGATGAAATACAGGAACCAAAAACAGCCATCAAATGGGTTGGAGATCAATTATTAGGTATATAAAAACAAGTGATATTAATATGTGATTGGAATTCTACTCAATTTTGTGTTACTCCTGTTCAATTCAATCATAATGCCTATAACTGGGAGCAAATCAAATTTCATTTACAAAATATACATGATAATGCCTCTCTGAATGTACAGTTATTGCAAAAAGAAATCTTTGATACCTTCTCTAAAAGTCTGCCCTCACCCACTGATCTGGAAATTTTAGCTGAACAACTAGCTGATCAATTATCTGGGCTAGACCCACGAGGATGGTTTCAAAGCATCACCCACAGCATCGGGTCCAGAACCATAACTCTGGTGATTGTCTTGGCAATTATATTTGTTGTTTACCATTGCCTTTCTGCAAAAATTGTTAAAACTAAACAAACTCAAATGGTCAGGACCTTTTTTTACAAATAAAATAAAATATGGGGAATTATCAGGGAATGTTTAACAGTAGGATTCCTCTGTGCTGTTTCCTATCTCTCTTGAGCCCTCTGTTCCTTATTAGTCCCTGTCAGGGACAAGAGGAGCAGGCAAGCCGCTCCCAGGACAGAGATCAAAGAGGTGGGATGCTTGCATAGGATCTCCTTCATTAGCTTTTCCATTTGGTGATAGGGATTATTTATGACCCTCTTTTGATATGGATCACCTTTTGGCCTTATGGCCTCTATTGCTCCTTGCTTCCTTGGTAACTTGTAAAGTCTGGCCTCTTGCTCTTTATCTGAAGAAGCTACCTTGTATTATGGTATATATACTCTCACAGAACTCAATAAAGCACCCTTGCTCTACCAGAGACTTGGGTCCCCGTGTCGTCCTCTCTCTCTCTCTATCTCTATCTCTCTATTTCTGGCTGATTCCCTGGAACATAAAGGATGGCTGCGTAACCCAGCGAATATTAGCCTCTTTCCTTCTTTCACTTTCTTATCATCGACTCCGGACCACCAGGTTCCAGTCCATTAAAGGATCCCAACAGTGGGGTAGAGGGGTGATTTGCCAAGGGCCTCACAGTGTGTTGGTGACAGGTCTTCATTCATGGAGTCCAAGACAGGATGTGCTGAGCCAGGAAGGCTCTGGCATGTCAAGGTTAGGCTTGTTTCTCAAAGCGGACAAGCAGGAGGGTGGGATTAGGCCAGGGTGGGGCCTGGTGGGCAGGATGTTTGTTTGAAGTGAGCAATCCAGATGTGAAGGAGTTCACTTCCCCCTTTTGTTCTCTGGGTATATCTGGGTCCAGAAAGTGTGTGTGTTTATTGCAGAGACACACAGAAGGTGGCTGCATCTGCTAAGGGGAGAACAACTGGATCTTGTTCACATTCAGCCAGAGGAAGATTCCTGGGTAAGCAAGAGTGGTAGGATCCCCAGCCATCTCCCCATCCTCAGGATGAATGTCTGAGAAAAGGATGATTGTCACTAGTTGACAGAAGAAGGAAGTGGAAGCTCAAAGAGGTGAGGCCATGGCCGAGGCACCAGGTGAAGCAGGGGCAGAGCCTGGATGTGGAGGCAGGTGTGTCTGAGGGCTTCCTCCCGCCTTGGGGCTCCTAAACAGAGCAGAGGGAGGGCGGCACCTTCTCAGGTGTGCTCAGCTCAAGATGTGAACTCCTGAGATGTAAGCACTGACCCCTGAAGGAAGGTGTATATTTAGGGTGCTCAGCCCTTTAGGAATTTGGAGAAAGCAGAGGGGGTGGAGGAGGATGAAGGAGTCACACCCTCTCTTCCTGTGGCCACCTTGAAGCTACCCTCAGGGTGCTGTGCTGACGCTGATGAGGGGGAAAGGGTTTCTTCTGAGATGCAAGGAATAACGGTTTATTCACACACCCTGTCTCGGAAGAGGGACACGAGACCAAGCAGGGAGATGCAGGGCTTTGCCTTTCTACACTTGCTGGGTCCTCTGCTCAGGATGTGGATTGGAGTAATGGGAGGTCCTATGTGGGGAAGACAACACAGATGGAGTGCTTCCAAGCCAAATTTGGGTCCTCTCAGCCATGCACCTTCAAGCCAACCTACTGACACTAGGTTGTGGTAAAGGAAACTGCAACATTTACTACAGGGCATCAAACAAAGAGTCCTGGTCAGTTCAGTTCAGTTCAACAGCTCAGTCATGTCTTACTCTTTGGGACCCCATGGACTGCAGCACGCCAGTCTCCCCCATCCATCACCAACTCCTGCAGCTTGCTCAAACTCATGTCCATCGAGTCAGTGATGCCATCCAACCATCTCATCCTCTGTCATCCCCTTCTCCTCCTGCCTTCAATCTTTCCCAGCATCAGGGTCTTTTCCAGTGACTCAGTTCTTTGCATCAGGTGGCTAAAGTATTGGAGCTTCAACTTCGGCATTAGTCCTTCCTATGAATATTCAGGACTGATTTCCTTTAGGATTGACTGGTTTGATCTCCTTGCGGTCCAAGGGATTCTCAAGAATCTTCTCCAGCACCACAGTTTGAAAGTATCAATTCTTTGGAGCTCAGCTTTCTTTATGGTCCAACTCTCACATCCGTTCATGACTACTGGAAAAACCATAGCTTTGACTAGATGGACCATTGTCGCCAGAGTAACATGTTTGCTTTTTAATGTGCTGTCTAGGTTTGTCATGGCTTTTCTTCCAAAGAGCAAGTTCCTTTTAATTTCTTGGCTGCAGTCACCATCTACAGTGATTTTGGAGTCCAAGAAAATAAACTTTGTCACTGTTTCCATTGTTTCCCCATCTATTTGCCATGAAGTGATGGCATGATTCAGATGATGTAATTCAGAATATTAGCTCTTGAGAAGGAAATAAAAGTTCTTGAATTTGTTTAATGGCTAAACAATTATTATTTTGCCTTGCTAACTCTTTTGTTTCTTTCTACATTTTCTCACTTCTCTAAATTAATTTATTCTTTGGAACTTGAGGGAGGCCTAGGATGCAAACATGTTTTTATGTACTTAAGGTAGATTGAGGACATAGGGTGGAGGAGAGTTCTGTCCTGGGAAGGTCTCTTTGGGTCCTGCTTGGTCACATCCCTCTGTCCCCTGCCCCCTTTGTGAATACTCCTCAACTGTGAGGAGGGACAGGAATGGAACAGGAAAGGAAATACAATTTTAGAAAAAGAAGTTAATTATAAACCTGCCATAGGAACTCATTTTTAGTTTCCATTCTCTTATCACTTTTGCCCAAATTTTGAGGTAATAAAGCAATGACTGCTCTGGCTGCTTCTTGCTGAAATGCAGTGTGGTCCTGCCTCAATTTGGGGAATGGACACAGTGTTGGAAATAGTCCCTAGACCAAAGCTTAGCACCAATATTTTGTGTCACAAAAACAAAATACATTTTTCTTTGATTACTTTGTTATAGCACCTGAATAAATATTTGAAAATTAGTAGGTAAGGTAAGAATAATGATCAAAATGCACTATGTGTTATTTTCTAAAAATATTCTATTTTAGATGTCAACCAGGAAAGTAATTTTTCAGTATTTTCTCTTTATGCACCTTCTAGTAACCAAGTAACACCTTAAATTAGTCTAAATTTTGGTTTTAACTTTTTCAGGAGTATTAATCATATATAACAGGAGCTATTGGCCACTCCACATGTCTCCTTGTTAAAAATAAAAACACAATTTAAAGCAATTTTATTATCTTATACTATTCTGCTCAAGAATCTAGTGTCTTCTTCTTGGAGGCAGTCGCTTGAGATATTTCATTTGCCATTCAGTTCAGTTCAGTTCAGTCACTCAGTCGTGTCTGACTCTTTGCAATCCCATGAATCACAGCACACCAGGCCTCCCTGTCCATCACCAATTCCTGGAGTTTACTCAAACTCATGTCCATCGAGTCGGTGATGCCATTCAGCCATCTCATCCTCTG